AAAATGCAAATGAATAAAGACTTGGTTATTAATGAAAAGGGCTCACTTTGGGTGTATATTTGAGTTAGGATTATCCAACGGAAGAGTCTAGACCCTGTCTAACGGATATTGCTTTAATAAAAACTGAAAGGATTTATTTGGGCATAATGACCACAACGAAAAATCACAAAGTGGCGTTGGAGTCCTTTCGTACAAGTACAAAATAAAACAAAGCGTGTTTAACATTCAAATGTGCACTGCAGTGTATCCAGACTCATCCAAACTGTGATGTATGACAATTTCAAGAAGTAAAAGATAAAGAACGCATCCCATGGACACTGAAATGAGCAATGAGGAAAAGGAAGCGAAGAGGATAAATTTCAAGGAGAACTGTGTACCCCCGGGGAAGAGAGAGCACAAAGATAAGAACTTGGAGAGATTATACGTAACTCTCTCTCTCTCTCTCTATTAATCGATGAAATTTACAAACCAAAAAAATAGAAACACTCTCGAGCAAATTAAAGCAGAATAAGCAAGGTACATTTTGCTAATATAATGAACATTCTTTCACTGTCTGTCAAATACAGCAAGAATGTGAGTTGTCTGCTATGAAATTTGAGAAATATGTAGCATCATAGAAGTGCGGTAAGTTCATTCTAATTAAATTTCATATTTTAAATCAAAGTGGTTGTTAAGAGAATGTAACACGAAATATTTCGTGATATTTTCCTCAGTGTTGTAAATAGTCCGTCCTTCTTTTGATGTTAGCAATACGCGTAGTTTCATGAAAATTCGTGTTTACAGCCATTCTACGCCAGATGAGTACTATTCCAAATCAAAAAAATAAGAAAATCAATATATCTCTCTTGTGACGCAGCTTTAAAGATTTACAAAATAATAGCAAATAAGTTGAAAGAAGAGGTGGCTAAAACCAGAAATCAGATGAATATAGAGAAAACTGATCACTGATCACCAACGGCGGAGGAAATCTAGGAGAATTGCGCATTTCAAATTCAAGTGGCGTGAATAAGGATTTCAAAGAGTGGTGACACAGTGGTTAGGACTCTAGCCGACCATGCACATGGTCCCGGGTTCGAGCCCTCGCCGACGCACACCTGATATCTATGGTCGGTCTGCGAATTTTGGGCTACCGATATCCACGCTTAAAATTCCATACTTGTAGCAAAAATACGGTGTGGAATCAAGCTGTAATCAAAAATCAAAATCAAGAAAAAATACTTTAATTGACATCTTGTTAAAATGAAAATACCGGTAGGAATTGGATAGATGTTTGAGGAATATTTCCACGACCAGTGCAAATCAATGTATATATGCATATATTTGGATGCAGGCTTCTTTTTTCAAGAACAAACGCGCTATTTCTCTTAGTCACATGAGGGTGTTTACGTCACGTTAGAGTTGAATAAATCTCCTCAGATTTCACTTCATGTACTGAGTGTCCGCCATAGATCACCACATTGATTTCAGCCTAGTGATTCAAGCGGGCTTTCAGACACCTTTCTGTATTGCGCGCGCCTTTCGATTCAGTGAGTTACTTTTCGGAGTAATCTATAAATCTTTCACTTCTTTGCTATTGCTCATCACGAAGTTCTGGAAATTATTGAATTCCGTTAATTTTCGAACGCTTAAACCCTGGATTTACTATTATTGACTACTAATACCTATAACAGAGCTTTTGGACATTTGTATCTTTTAACAACAACCCATACGTAAAATTGTATATATTCTTGTATTTATATGTTCAAGTTGGCCCAAGTCAGTGAGCCTGTGATTTTGGTATCATTTTAGTTAACTGTGCTGAAGTATATTCCATGTTGTTGTATTTTATCGTTGTTGTCCCTTTTTGCCCTTTTTGCTGTGAATTGTTTTCTTTTTCTTGGTGTTGTTCTGATTGTTTTATCCCTTGTTATCTGATTTTAAGGGGAGCAACCCAAAAGGTCGCTTCTCTCTAAACTTTATCTTAATGTAACCATTCCTTTCCCAAGCGTGAGGCTAGCAACTCCACCCTGTAAACAAAATTGCTACAGAAACTTCAGCACGATGAACCACTTTGCACCAAAAGAAAAAGTCTGTGTTGGGACATGGAACGTCCGAACTATGTAGGAGGCAGGGAAAGCTGCCCAGATCGCAAACGAGATGAAAAGATACGGAATCCAAGTTCTGGGAATATGTGAAAGCAGATGGAATGGGAATGGACTCACCAAATTGTCAACGGGTGAGTCAGTGATCTACTCCGGTCACCCTGAAGATAACCACACGCACATCAAGGGCGTGGCTATCATGATGTCACCAACGGCAACAAAGGTCCTGATGCAATGGAAGGCGATCTCGTCCAGGATGATGATCGCCAGATTCAACTCCAAAGGAAGGAAATTGTCAATTATACAATGTTATGCACCCACAAGCAACGCAGACCTCAAAATGAAAGAAGGCAACAATGGAAAATACTGCAACTGGCGACATGAAAATACTAATGGGAGACATGAACGCCAAACTGGGACCAGACAACACAGGAAGGGAACTCATCATGGGTAGAGAAGCTCTCGGAGAAATGAATAAAAATGGAGAACTATTCGCCGAGTTCTGCGCCTTCAACGAACTAGTGATCGGTGGCAGTGTATACAAGCACAAAGATATTCACAAGGCTACATGGGTGTCACCAGACGGTCAAACCAAAAACCGAATTGACTTCAGCTCAATGGTGCTCTAGGAAGTGGAGGCGCAGCCTACTGGACACAGAAGCAAGAAGAGGAGCAGACGTTGGCTCAGACCACCATCTCGTACAAGGGACAATCCAAATCAAACTAAAAGCTTTCTGAGAAGGAGGAGCTGCAGACAGACCACAAGCCAAGTTGAACACTCAAAAGCTGAAGGACCAGGCTACAAAGGACATCTTCATTGCAAGCGTATAGGAAAAAGGCGAGACACAAATCAACACCAGCGAAAATGTCGGCGTCGAAAAGCACTGAGACAGCTTGAAAACGGTGTGGAGCCAAACCTGCATGGAAGTTCTAGGGAGAAAGAAGAGGCAGGACAAACAGTGGCTCACTATGGACACTTGGAGACTAATAGAAGAGAGAAGGACAGTGAAACAAAAGATTATCCAGTGCACCGACGAGCAACAAAAACAGGAGTTGAATTCAAGCTAGAATACACTGAACAAAAGAGTAAAGAAGAGTGTCAGGGAAGACAAAAGAAAATATTATGAAACCATGTCAAATGAAGCGGAAGAATCTGCAGGCAGAGGAGACCTCGCCACAATCTACCAAACAACTAGGAACCTATCGGGCAAAAGTTCGACACAGATTAGGCCACTAAAGGATGACAATGGAAAGTCATTCACCAAAGAGGTGGAACAAAGGAAATACTGGGCTGCACACTTCAGAAGACTTCTAAATCGACCGCCACCTTCAACGCGCCCAACAATACCAACAACGGAAGCAGAACTACCAGTGAACATTGACCCCCCGAAGAAATCAGAAGTCCTGAATGCAAACAAGATGCTTAAAACTGGGAGAGCACCTGGACCAGATGGAGTCCCAGCAGAAGCTTTGAAAGTAGACCCAGAGACAACAGCGGACTTGATGACGCCACTACTGGAGAAGGTGTGGGAAGAGGGCAAAGTACCTGAGGATTGGAAGAAAGGATACTTATTCAAACATATTGTACTGCACGCTACCCCTCCGACTAACAACTAAATACACACCTAAAAATTCCCCGGTGCGCTATCAATATAGGGACTATAAGAATGCTGATTGGGAATTCCTATCAGATCTGTTGAGAAGTTCTGACTGGGAAGAATACTTCATCAACAATAACTTAGAAGCATCACTTGAGATTTTCTACAAAACAGTTGGCTCAGCAAGAGACACAATCGCGCCCCTAAAATCTGCCCTAAAGACACCAACTCCATTTATTGACCGGAAAACGCGACTAAAACTAAAGAAATTGAAAAGGAAATACCATGTATTTAAGGAATTTAATGCGTTAAACCAAATACATGAAACTCTTAAACTGCTTGAAGAGAAACACAAAATGAAGTCACAACATGAGGAAAATAAAGCGCTAATGGGTAACACCAAAACTCAGGAACTTTGTAGGATATTGCAAAAACGTCTAAAAAGCAGTAAAGACAATAATGTAAGCATCTTGGAACATAGGGGTGTAATATACAACGATCCCCAGGTTATAAGTGAACTCCTCAGTGAGTGGTTTTGCAATGACACCAGAGTGCACCCGACCCCAAATTTCCAAATGACCTGCAAAAGTAACCACAAATTAGGAGAAATAGATTTTAATATACAAAATATAGACTCAGCGATTAAGACATTGAAGTCAAATGGCAGTACTGGAACAGACGACATACCATCTGTCATATACAAAAATGGTAGCACGGAAATGGTAGTCTTGTTACTTAGAATATTTACTCTGTCACTGGAAACTGGAACTTATCCTGAAGTGTGGAAAACCACATACATACTACCTAAGCACAAAGCAGGGGCCAAAACCAGTGCATGCAACTATAGACCTATTAATATAACACCGGTAATATCACGAATAATGGAGAAAGTGGTTAAAGACCAAGTGTCAGACAACTTACTAGAACATGAACTTATCAACCCATCACAACACGGATTCCTCAAAAAGAGATCATGTGCGACCTGTCACATAGACTTTTTCAACGAAGTTACACGAAGCAGGGACAACAGAGAACTAGTAATTGTGCTATATTTCGATATAACAAAAGCCTTCGATAGAGTCCCCCATAATCTGCTAGTCAGCAGGTTATGCTCACTAGGGATATGTGACCCTCTCCTGAGCTGGATAAAATCATTTCTCTGTGACAGGAATCAGATAACAAAAGTTGGCTCGATAATCTCAAGGCCTAAACCTGTAAGTAGTGGTGTAATCCAGGGAAGTGTATTAGGCCCACTCCTATTCATAATATATATAAACAGTATCTGTGAATGCTTTAGTGTTGGTAAACCAATACTATATGCAGATGACTTAAAAGTGACCTATAAATGCAAGAACACAGATCTCGGAATAACAGTAAACGCCATACAGCAAGAATTAGAAAAAATGGATAGATGGTGTGACACCTGGCAACTCCAGTTTAATGTCGACAAATGTGGCTGGCTCTGCATAGGTTGCAACAATTTAGAACTTGACCTGACAATTCAAGGCCATGCACTCTTACGACTGGAATCTGTATTGGACCTAGGACTGAAATACTCACATGACTTATCATTTTCTGAACATATCTCCAAACAAGTGTCAAAGTCACGCAGACTTATCGGCTTTCTACTCAGGAACTTTTACAGAAATGAGTCCAGAATTCTGTTGTACAAGGTTTGTGTGCGTCCTTTATTTGATTACTGTTCATTCATGTATAGTAGTATACGCATAGAGGACAAATTGAAAGTCGAGGGAGTGCAGAGGTACTTCACGTCAAAATTACTCGGAACCGAAAATGGTGCGAACTACTCCACTAGATGTGACACCCTAGGATTAGAAACACTATGGCTAAGACGCCTGAGACTAAACTTAACACTTTACTATAAGCTTCTAAACCACTTAGTTTTTACCTCTACTAATGGCATTCGACTTTCAGATGACAGTGGCTACAAACTAAGACACACTAAGGGTACAGTAGCTATCGAACAATGTAAAACAGCTACCAGGCAAAAGTTTTACTTGATTAGGTATGCACAGATATGGAATAAACTACCAATGGAAATGCGTCAAGCAGGTACATTGGCCTCATTCAAAAAAGTGCTTAACGACAAACTACAAGAGTTTGCAAACGATAGTAGTCCTAGTTCCTATCTGAGAGCCTCCGAAATTATAGGTCCATTTAATGTATAAGCTTAAATACTACACCTGTTGTTTTTTGCCTATATTTATAATTTTAGATAAAACATTAACGATTAAGATACTTACCCTCAAACAGACAAGAAGTTTCGTTTGTAAAACTTCTACCCAACACAATAAGTGGAATAAAATGGACATAAACCGACAACATGAAAAAGATATAACTCACCACAACATCACATGGACAGATGTACGCTCGTCGGGCATCATATATACCTCACCAACTACAACTCAACTTTCCTAAGATAATGTGATGAACTTATATCCGTAATGTTGCTGAGCAGTTAATATCCACAACTCCTGTCGGAACAACTAAAATTCAAAAACCCTCCTCATGAGAAGTAAATACCCACAAGCAGTAGAAATCCATTAATTAATGCGTCTAAAGCTTATGTATTTTGCTCCCAACAATGACATTGCAGATCAAATGAGATAAGCAAATCACTGATTTCCAAATAACACAACAATGAACTATAATTCAAGAATTCTGTACACAACAAAATTATGTATGAAAACTGACTTCAAGCTTTATTTTTTTCCCAGGCACTTATAACCCATCCACCAAAGACCTGGTTTTTTTGTTAATGCGAAGACAATACTTCTGTATTTCCTGATGTGTTGCACTCACTGACAATCTAGCGGATTTTTCCAACTATGCACAGAAACGATTGTACATAAGTGAAAAGGATGTTTTATACTATTGGGATTAACATTTATCAAGTGTATGTATAATCTCCAGTGTACATGTTAAACATATTTTGCTATCGACTGTAAATTGTGACTGAATAATATGGTCCTATTTCTGTAACAATTTGATGATGCCTGTAAACTGGCGTCCCTCATGTACTGCATGAGAATAAATTTATTTATTTATTTATTTATTTAAAAGAGTTCAAAATCGAACGCCACCTACAACACACCCAACAATACCAACAACGGAAGCAGAACTACCAGTGAACATCGACCCTCCGACGAAATCAGAGGTCCTGAACACAATCAAGATGCTAAAAAGCGGAAAAGAAGCAGGACCAGATGGAATCACAGCAGAAGCATTGAAAATGAACCCAGAGACAACAGCGGACTTGATGACACCACTACTGGAGAAGGTGTGGAAAGAGGGCAAAGTACCTGAGGATTGGAAGAAAGGATACTTATTCAAACTACCAAAGAAAGGAGACTTAAGTCAATGTAAAAGCTGGCACGGAATTATGCTCCTGTCCATTCCAAGCAAAATACTAAGCCACATCATCCTGGAGAGAATCAAACAAGCTGACGTGGATAAAAAACTTCGGCCGGAACAAGCTGGATTCAGGAGAAACAAATCATGTATTGATCAAATCGTCACACCATGGGTCATCATTGAGCAAAGCTTGGAATGGCAGTCACCTCTCTATCTCAACTCTGATCGACTTTCAGAAGGCCTTCGACAGCGTCGATCGAGAGGTCATTTGGCATCTACGTCGCTACTACGGGGTCCCATCGACAATTATACATCTCATCCAACAGTTATACGACAATGCTGCATGCCCAGTAACCCACAACGGGAAAATTACGGAAGCCTTCAAAGTAAGGACGGGAGTGAGACAAGGCTCTGTACTATCGCCAATGATTTTCCTGATTGCAGTAGATTGGATATTGCGACGTACAACAGGCTGGGCAATGAGGGAACAGGCATAAAATGGACTCACACAAAAAACTCGGAGGATCTGGACTTCACCGATGATGATATATGTCTGATTTCCCACAAACTGGAAGATATGCAAGTGAAAAGCAACAAGTTGGCAGAAGAAGCATCAAACGTAGGACTTCAAGAGAACATGAAGAAAACAGAGGTGATGAAGATTCCTGGCCAACACCAACAGCCACAGCAAAAAAAAACAGACAACAATCAGCATATATGGGAGGAAGTTGAGTTAGAGAGGTAACTGCCATTCCAAGCTTTGCTCAATGATGACCCATGGTGTGACGATTTGATCAATACATGATTTGTTTCTCCTGAATCCAGCTTGTTCCGGTCGAAGTTTTTCATCCACGTCAGCTTGTTTGATTCTCTCCAGGATGATGTGGCTTAGTATTTTGCTTGGAATGGACAGGAGCATAATTCCGTGCCAGTTTTTACATTGACTTAAGTCTGCGTTCTTTGATAGTTTGAATAAGTATCCTTTCTTCCAATCCTCAGGTACTTTGCCCTCTTCCCACACCTTCTCCAGTAGTGGTGTCATCAAGTCCGCTGTTGTCTCTGGGTCTACTTTCAAAGCTTCTGCTGGGACTCCATCTGGTCCAGGTGCTCTCCCAGTTTTAAGCATCTTGTTTGCATTCAGGACTTCTGATTTCTTCGGGGGGTCAATGTTCACTGGTAGTTCTGCTTCCGTTGTTGGTATTGTTGGGCGCGTTGAAGGTGGCGGTCGATTTAGAAGTCTTCTGAAGTGTGCAGCCCAGTATTTCCTTTGTTCCACCTCTTTGGTGAATGACTTTCCATTGTCATCCTTTAGTGGCCTAATCTGTGTCGAACTTTTGCCCGATAGGTTCCTAGTTGTTTGGTAGAGTGTGGCGAGGTCTCCTTTGCCTGCAGGTTCTTCCGCTTCATTTGACATGGTTTCATAATATTTTCTTTTGTCTTCCCTGACACTCTTCTTTACTCTTTTGTTCAGTGTATTCTAGCTTGAATTCAACTCCTGTTTTTGTTGCTCGTCGGTGCACTGGATAATCTTTTGTTTCACTGTCCTTCTCTCTTCTATTAGTCTCCAAGTGTCCATAGTGAGCCACTGTTTGTCCTGCCTCTTCTTTCTCCCTAGAACTTCCATGCAGGTTTGGCTCCACACCGTTTTCAAGCTGTCTCAGTGCTTTTCGACGCCGACATTTTCGCTGGTGTTGATTTGTGTCTCGCCTTTTTCCTATACGCTTGCAATGAAGATGTCCTTTGTAGCCTGGTCCTTCAGCTTTTGAGTGTTCAACTTGGCTTGTGGTCTGTCTGCAGCTCCTCCTTCTCAGAAAGCTTTTAGTTTGATTTGGATTGTCCCTTGTACGAGATGGTGGTCTGAGCCAACGTCTGCTCCTCTTCTTGCTCCTGTGTCCAGTAGGCTGCGCCTCCACTTCCTAGAGATTGAGCTGAAGTCAATTCGGTTTTTGGTTTGACCGTCTGGTGACACCCATGTAGCCTTGTGAATATCTTTGTGCTTGTATACACTGCCACCGATCACTAGTTCGTTGAAGGTGCAGAACTCGGCGAAGAGTTCTCCATTTTTATTCATTTCTCCGAGAGCTTCTCTACCCATGATGAGTTCCCTTCCTGTGTTGTCTGGTCCCAGTTTGGCGTTCATGTCTCCCATTAGTATTTTCATGTCGCCAGTTGCAGTATTTTCCATTGTTGCCTAAAAAAAAAAAAAAAAAAAATCTTTCATTTTGAGGTCTGCGTTGCTTGTGGGTGCATAACATTGTATAATTGACACTTTCCTTCCTTTGGAGTTGAATCTGGCGATCATCATCCTGGACGAGATCGCCTCTCATTGCATCAGGGCCTTTGTTGCCGTTGGTGACATCATGATAGCCACGCCCTTGATGTGCGTGTGGTTATCTTCAGGGTGACCGGAGTAGATCACTGACTCACCCGTTGACAATTTGGTGAGTCCATTCCCATTCCATCTGCTTTCACATATTCCCAGAACTTGGATTCCGTATCTTTTCATCTCGTTTGCGATCTGGGCAGCTTTCCCTGCCTCCTACATAGTTCGGACGTTCCATGTCCCAACACAGACTTTTTCTTTTGGTGCAAAGTGGTTCATCGTGCTGAAGTTTCTGTAGCAATTTTGTTTACAGGGTGGAGTTGCTAGCCTCACGCTTGGGAAAGGAATGGTTACATTAAGATAAAGTTTAGAGAGAAGCGACCTTTTGGGTTCCTCCCCTTAAAATCAGATAACAAGGGATAAAACAATCAGAACAACACCAAGAAAAAGAAAACAATTCACAGCAAAAAGGGCAAAAAGGGACAACAACGATAAAATACAACAACATGGAATATACTTCAGCACAGTTAACTAAAATGATACCAAAATCACAGGCTCACTGACTTGGGCCAACTTGAACATATAAATACAAGAATATATACAATTTTACGTATGGGTTGTTGGTAAAAGATACAAATGTCCAAAAGCTCTGTTATAGGTATTAGAAGTCAATAATAGTAAATCCAGGGTTTAAGCGTTCGAAAATTAACGGAATTCAATAATTTCCAGAACTTCGTGATGAGCAATAGCAAAGAAGTGAAAGATTTATAGATTACTCCGAAAAGTAACTCACTGAATCGAAAGGCGCGCGCAATACAGAAAGGTGTCTGAAAGCCCGCTTGAATCACTAGGCTGAAATCAATGTGGTGATCTATGGCGGACACTCAGTACATGAAGTGAAATCTGAGGAGATTTATTCAACTCTAACGTGACGTAAACACCCTCATGTGACTAAGAGAAATAGCGCGTTTGTTCTTGAAAAAAGAAGCCTGCATCCAAATATATGCATATATACATTGATTTGCACTGGTCGTGGAAATATATTCCTCAAACATCTATCCAATTCCTACCGGTATTTTCATTTTAACAAGATGTCAATTAAAGTATTTTTTCTTGATTTTGATTTTTGATTACAGCTTGATTCCACACCGTATTTTTGCTACAAGTATGGAATTTTAAGCGTGGATATCGGTAGCCCAAAATTCGCAGACCGACCATAGATATCAGGTGTGCGTCGGCGAGGGCTCGAACCCGGGACCATGTGCATGGTCGGCTAGAGTCCTAACCACTGTGCCACCGACGCACATGCTTGTTTAAGAATTCGAATACGAGGATCATTTGTATCTGGGGTCACAAATCTCCAATATGTGTGATAGTGATTAATGAATAATAATAATATTAACAGCTTTATTCCAAACGGTATTTGTGGTACAGGTATGGAATTGTCAGCGTGCATTACAATATAATGCATCTAATTACCTCATAAATTATATAAGATTTTCAAAATCAAAAAAATAAATAAATATATGCCAAAAAATAAAAGATAAATAAAAATTTTTAAAAAAACAGCGTAGAGTTTACATTTCAAACAATGCACCACATGATATGAAATATAAAGTTGATGTGTGATAGAAGATGAGAACAACAGTGTAATAGTAACGAGGAAAGGAAAAAAAACAACTAATGGGACTATTTGTTTGAGTGACGCAGTAAGTTTATCGTGTCATACCTAACGGATTTCTCATCACCTAACAGCTGTGACAGATATTGTATTGTGGAGTTTTTGTACTTGCGCATGCACCCATGGCAATACATGCATTCAAGCGGTGAATATAATTCTTGCTCTTCATTGTTAGATTGATACGTCAGACATTCTTAGCTGTGTTGTTGATATCAGTATCAGAGTAAAGAATTTGTTACTTGATGCGAATAAATCATTTATCAAGGTATATTTGAA